GAAGAATCAGTATTGTGAAAATAGCCATACTGCCCAAAGTAATATATAGATTCAACATTATACCCATCAAACTACCATTAACAGTCTTCACAGAATTAGAAAAAAAAACTATTTTAAATTTTATATAAAACCAAAAAAGAGCCTGTACAGCCAAGATAATCTTAAGCAAAAAGAACAAAGCTGGAAGCATAACACCACCTGACTTCAAACTAAAGTACAAGGCTACAGCAACCAAAACAGCATGGTACTGGTACCAAAAAAGATACAATGACCAATGGAACAGACAGAGACTCAGAAATAACATCACACATCTACAACCATCTGATCTTCAACAAACCTGACAAAAACAAGCAATGGGGAATGGATTCCCTATCTAATAAACGGTGCTGAGAAAACTGGCTAGCCATACGCAGAAAACGAAAACTGGACCCCTTCCTTACACCTTATTAAAAAAATAACTCAAGATGGATTACAAACTTAAATGTAAAACCCAAAACTATAAAAATACCAGAAGAAAACCTAGGCAATACCATTCAGGACATAGAGACGGGCAAAGACTTCATGACAAAAACACCAAAGGCAATGGCAACAAAAGGCAAAATTAACAAATGAGATCTTTTTTTTTTTTTTTTTTTCACCTCATGATCCACCCGCCTCGGCCTCCCAAAGTGCTGGGACTACAGGCTTGAGCCACCGTGCCTGGCCCTAAATTATGCTTTTTAACTGAGACAACATAGGATTGGGCAAATACTAAAGATTTTTGAAAGAAACTACTTCTACTTGTATGTTTAAGTAATTAGAGTGCAGTTTTCTTTCTTTTTTTTATGGATTGGAGGTTTCAGTGGGACGGGAGAATCACAAGGAATCAGGTGTTCAGAGGAATGTATTGAGTAGAAGTGAGGAACTAGGATGTTGAAAAATAAAAAAAGGAGAGAAAGAGAGGAAGAAAAAGAGGGAGAGAGAACAGGAATATTGCTTCATTCTAAAAATGGGTATTAATAATGGCCGATCAATATTTTGTGTATTTAAAATGGAGAACTCTATAAATATTTATTGAGTTTACTTGTTCCAGATCTGAGTTGAAGTCCTGGATATCCTTATTAATTTTCTGTCTTGTTGAGTCTAAATCTCAGTTGAGTCTAAATAGATTTCAAAGCAACAAAGATACAGTGGTAAAAGGATCAATGCAACAATAAGAGATCTTAATTTCCAGATACACAAATAGATCTAATTAAACCAAAGAGCTTCTGCACAGCAAAAGAAACTATCATCAGAGTGAACAGGTAACTTACAGAACGGGAGAAAATATTTACAATCCACACATCTGACAAAGGTCTAATATCCAGAAACAATCCCATCAAAATGTGGGCAAAGATATGAACAGACACTTCTCAAAAGAAGACATTTATGTGGCCAAAAAACATATGAAAAAAGCTCAACATCACTGATCATTAGAGAAATATAAATCAAAACCACAATGAGAAACCATCTCATGCCAGTCGGAACGGTGATCACTAAAAAGTCAGGAAACAACAGATGCTGGCGAGGCTGTTGAGAGATAGGAATGCTTTTACACTGTTGGTGGAAGTGAAAATTACTTCAATCATTATGGAAGACAGTGTGGCGATTCCTCAAGGACCTAGAACCAGACATACCATTTGACCGAGCAATCCCACATGAATATAAATCATTCTTCTATAAAGACACATGCACATGTATGTTTACTGCAACACTGTTTACAATATCAAAGATATAGAATCCCAAATATCCATCAATTATAGGCTAAAGAAAATGTGGTACGAATATACCATGGAATACTATGCAGCCATAAGAAGAAATGAGACTATGTCCTTTGTAGGGACATAGATGAAGCTGGAAGCCATCATCCTCAGCAAACTAATTTCTCATTACAAGAATAGAAAACCAAACACTGCATGTTCTCACCCCTAAGTAGGAACTGAACAATGAGAACATATGGACATAGGGAGGGGAACAACACACACTAGAGCCAGTTGGAGGGTGTGGGGCAAGGGGACGGAGAACATTAGGACAAATAGCTAATCCATGCAGGGCTGAAAACCTAGATGACAGGTTGACAGATGCAGTAAACCACCATGGCACGCATACACCCATGTAACAAATCTACACTTTCTGCACTTGTATCCCAGAACTTAAATTAAAATAAAGTAAAATAAAAATAAAATAAACCATCTAAAAAAGTTGAACTGACCACAATTAAAAAAAAAAAAAAGAAAAGAAATTCCTCTCCTGACAAAAATACTAAAACAAAAATGTATTGTATCCCTGTGGAATTACTGAGATTAGGGTCACCATTAAAAAAAAAATGAAAAATACAGTGGTGGTGATTCCTAACATTTAGCTACTTACCTCACCTATTTGGCTGGTCTGTGCATACTGAAATTGACTTGGAGAAGGTTGGCTTATCATAAACAGAGTCAGAGGGTGACTCCAATTACAGATGTTCCTTTATATGTGGTGACTACTTGGGCATATCCAAGTATGTCCTGACACCTCCTATACAGGCAATCATTTGGCAAATTCTTTAACCTCCTTACCAATTAGGAAGGACAATGGGAAATAATTGACTTTTAGCTGGCAAAGACCCCTCCACTGTTAAATGGAAAAGACTTTCCCAGTCCATGGCGGACAGGAGCCTTGATTGCCTAGATATCCTGTAAGACATAATGCTGACAATAAAATATGGATCACATCATCCCAATGTCTTAGTAGACATCTGTATGCCTCTGGTGGTGAAAAATATTGGTATTTCAAGTGCTTGACAATTTGGCAATGTTTCTAAATGTAGCCTGGATGTTATTGAGATATTCTTACATAAAAAGCAAATCTCTGTACCTAAGATGACCTAAAATTCAGGAAGAGATACAGTGCTTTTTAAATTCCTTTACATACTAGAAAAAAAATCATATATATTAGATACTTTGATGTGTTGCTCTTACCCACTTACAGAATAGCCCAAAAGAACTTTAGTATGAGAAAGAAAAGGCTCTGCAACTCTTCTGCAAGGTGCTCTGATGATGATTCCAGATGACCCTGTTTACTCGTTCGGTGGTACCTGAAGTCTCATGGCTGGGTGGCTTAGTAGGTTGTTGGTTAGTTGCTCTTTGCAGTTGAGCCCTGATAGAAACTACATACTTGATCATAACCTAGCAAATGACCACGCAACCTGAGACGGCCAGGATGAACTAAGCACTATCCGATCTGCCAGGTTATAAGACTAGGCTTGTACAGAAGCAATTACAACCAAGTGGAAGTGATCTGTTGGAAATCAGGCTCAAGCAGGTAGAGAAAGAGCATGAAAAGGTAGGCCACATTCAGCACCTGCTCCTGCTACATTGCCTGCCTATTTCAATGGAAATTTGTGACCTCATGGGGAATAATCAGTTGATGAGGATACATAAAATTCAGGGTTAGTTTATAGAGAAACCTGTTCAAAAAATAGGCAACAAGCAGAAATATAAGGCCACGACAATGAAGCCTTACTAAAGAGAGATAATGAAAAACAGCGCATAATTGAAATGCCTGAGTGGACTCAGGTGCACAAGTGAACAACTCGTATGGTGGCATGAGACAGGCCTGAGATGGATCTACGCTGATTCATTGACAATGGCTAATCACGGCTGGATGGTCAGAGACAGCAAAATGATGAGTTTGCAAGATTGGTGACAAGAAGGTCTATTCAGTGGCCAGGATAGACGCTTTTAAAACCTCCCACTCCGTGAGCCCCTTATTGCTCCTGATCCAGTTTGTAACATTTCACCTGTATTGGTTTAGTTTTCCTAGTGAGAGATGATGCTAAATGTTGAGTTTTGTTTTCTTTTCCAAGTGGGTTGTTTTGGTGGTAAAATACATCACCTTGAAGAACTTCAGATCTTTTTAAGCTGGTTTTTATTAGAAAAACACCCTAGACAAAACATACTGATTTTTCAAGTGCAAGGAATGACTGCTGATTATTGTAGGAGTTTAGATAAAAAGAACAGCTATTTTACATGTAAAATAAAATGCTAATTTGTTTTAGCTGGAGAAAATAGCCAGCAATATCCCAGATCTTTATCCCATGCTCACAGCCCATCTGATGAGAGACTGAGGCAATTAGGTGTGCAATCCCAAAAAAGAAAGAAACAGATTTTAGATTATAGAAAAGTTATGTGAAATATTTTATATATGAATTATTCATAGAGTATTATTAGAAATAATCACCTAATAAATAAATATAAAATTCTGAATTTCAGTCCAACTCAAAAAATACTTAGAATCTAGTGTTTGCCAGGATATACACTCACTCGTCAACTAAACACACACACAAATAATAATTACCTCTAGTTTTCATAGCGTTTCATCCTAAGCCTCAATGATCAAGCAAAGGAATGCAAAACAAAGACTGAATTTAACCTGTGAAATAATGATGGGTATAGTGATAGAAATGTGAGTTAGCAAGCCCTATGCAATGTTTATTATTTTGAATCAACAGATAACCATTTTTAGCATTTCATGTAAAAAGTATGGAAACTCCTTTTTATTCAATTATTTGTAATAGATGTTAAACATTCAGTGATACCTATCACATTATGTAAATGTACTATCTTTCTGTCTTTCACTGTCCAATACGGTAGCCTCTAGCCATATTAACAATTTAAAATTAACTAAAATGAAAAACTCAATCTTAAGTCACACTAGCCACATTTTAAGAGCACAATGTCATATGTGCCCAGGGCCCTGGATAGATTTCACATTATGTTATGAAAATGTTCCATTATGACAGAAAGTTGTATTGGTCTTGTAAGTTGAACCTGTCATCCAAATTAATGGAACAAGTAGAGCCACTGAATTTTACAGTTAATAAATGTTGATTTTTTTTTCCATATTGCATTTTATTGTATTTAATTGAGTATATTCTGTTCTGTTGTAAAATTAGGGGCTTACTTTCTTTTCTCTTTCTGGTTGTAAAACAAATGTCTTACTTTCTTCTGTTGGCAAGTGTCTCTTCACTCCTCCTTGCCGTGGTCTTCATTCCATGCTTCTCTTTGCTCTGCTCAAAAGAACAACGAGGGCTTTGTGTGGGTGTTCTTACAGGGCGGCCGCAAATCTTATTTACCTTTTAAATAGAAAACATTAAAAGGCAGTTAGAAACCATGCTCCACCTTTCTGAGAATGTGACGTTTCATAGGGGCTAAAACAATGACATGTTCTTGCTTTCACCTCAATATTAACCTTTAATGTAATATATACAGTGTTCGTCAATTTCTCAGACAGAGGCAGGTAAATTATCTGTATAAGACGGCAATTATGAAAAATGGATGTCATGGACATTTATGTAGCATGCAGTATATCTGTGTAAGATATGCAAAATCAGATAACTATATTAATAAACGGCCTTACTGGTGTAACATGACTTCACCAAAATAGATATTATTTATGATTTATATGTACAACTAATCACATACCTGTCCTATTTTAAAATGAGATAATTTACTGTTGAGTATGTGGTCCTTCTCTAAATGAATTCTAAGGCCAAAAGCAAATATCTTTGTAGTTTTCTTCTTAAGGTCCTTTCTTAGAAATGACAATGAATATTTTTAATATAAAGATCTCCTTTTATAATAGTTATTTCTTCTTCTTTCTCAATCTGGTGTAATTTTCAGGGTGTCATTACAGTATTTTTCAAAAATAATTTATCTCCATGGGAAATGTATTGTTTCTTTAATACTTATCTAGTAAAGATCTCTGTATAATGCACATAATTATTATAGAAAAAAATTAAGTTATTAATTTACCATTGAAAGCATCAAAAAGGATTTACATGATACCTTGTATAATAGAAAGGCAGAGTCATATAATTGAAAATACGTAAAAGCATTGCCTGGAATCAGGAGACTCTGGTTCTTGTCCTAATTTTTACTTTTTTTAAGCTGAGACCTTAAAAACATGACAGAACCTCTTTGAATGTGATTTCCTAATGTGCACAAGGAAGAAGTTACAATAAATTATTGCAAAGTTCCCTTAAAGTTTTTGATTTTCCATGTAATGCAAATCTCTTTGATTTTCCATGTAATGAGTATTGAAGAGGCTATGCATCCGTTTCATGTATTTTACCCATATTTATTTTACTTCTAGTATTTGCAAAGTACATATATTAAATGTTATAACAGGGAAAATATAAGTAACTAAGGTTCCTCCTAATAGAGCTTGCAAATTAAGAGGAAAGAAATAAAGGAATCCTTCCAATCATCAAAATTCAAGTCGTATGTGTCAAAAAAGTGAAACTGACAATGGATGTCAGAGAGATGTAGGATCCTTTCCGAGTGGGGGTGATGGGTAAAGGATATCAGCAAAGGCTACCCCAGGACAGGCTACTGCCCATAGGGATGAGACTTGGAGCATCTGTTGTGCCGGGATACGCTGAGGTTTATTTCAATTCAACCAAATTAAAAATAAATATTTGTTGTACCCTACTATGTTAGATGCTAGAGACACAAATATGAATAAGGCACAGCCTCATGTACACAGTTGACATGAAAGTTACACAGGTAAAATAACACTTGTCATATAACACGGCAAGAGCAACCCATTACATGGATGTTAATAACACTGTAACTCACGGTTATAGTAACTACACTGTGCATTTGGTACAAGAAGTACATGGTGTGAGAAATGGGTGTAGCAAGAGGTAAGGCTGGTGTGAAAGACATAACCATGCCATCGTATGACTGGATACCGAGCTAAAGGACTTGTGATAGCAAGTGGAATGCAGGTAAAAGGGTCCAAGCAGGGAAAGCGCTGCTTCAGATTTCCACGTGAGAAAACTCATCACCACAGCCGTGTGGCTAGAGGGAGAAGAGAGGTCCTTCAGCAGGCCCGTGGAAAATGCCAGGCAGAGCAGCAGTAAAAAGGAAGAAGTAGATTCCAGAGACACACAGGAGGGATGAGAGTAGCACTTGGAGACAGAGTTGATATAGGATTTTGTCAGAACAAAGAACAGTGATGACGGGCAGAGGAAAAGTCCTCAGAAGGTGGGTGCCGGAAGACATGAGGCCGGCAGGGACAATGGACAAAACTTTGCTTTGCTTGGAAAGAAGGGATCGTGCAAGGTAACCACAAAAACAAATTATATTTGAAGGGTAAAGTTGGAGGGCTTTAAAATGCCAGGCTCAGGAGTTTTAGATAAAAGCTCCTGGATGATTGCTCGATGTAAAATGCCACTGCTGAAGTTCAGCAAATACATGAGGCCGCACTGTAGAAGTCAGACTAGAGCGAGAAAGCTATTCAAGGCAGGTAAACTGTTAATAGACTTTTCAAGTAGTCCCCAAAGAGAAATTTTAATTTTGAACTGCTGTAGGGACAGTGTTCACAAGTTACAGATAGAAGAGAAGCAAAGTCAACGGGGCCGGGCCAGTGGTTGACAGTGAGAAGTAAAAGTAGTGTAAGGACAAGGTGGTAAAAGGCCCAGAGTGAATTTCCACTTTGAAAAATAGTGATAGTGAAGGATACGTCTATTAGCCAGGAGCTAGATTATTCACAAAGAATGGAGGAAAGTAAGTTCACAGTATGGTAATCAACAACTCCTAGTAACAAGGACCCAGGGAAGACGATGTCACTTGATAGCATATGTAAGTGGGGAGAGTAAGATAATTTGGTCACACCACAGGACATTTTGTTTTGTTGCAATTTTTATTTATTTATTTATTTATTTTAATTGCATTTTAGGTTTTGGGGTACATGTGAAGAACATGCAAGATAGTTGCATAGGTACACATGTGGCAGTGTGATTTGTTGCATTTTGAAATAAAGAAGCAAAGAGAAAGGAAAACAGAATCTATAATCATGATCCAGTGTGACCTGCCATAGGGTTTGAGGCAAGTTATGGAACTTCCATGTATCTTAGTTTTCTCATCTTTGAAACTCAAGAAAATAAAACCACTTTGCAGTTATGAGCTTAGAGAAATCTTATCTCATCCTGTCCCTCCCTGGTCAGACCCAAGACTCTATCTGCTACTGAACATGTTTCCTAGGAAGGCAGATGGCGAGTGGAAAAATACCAGCCTTGCAGCCCCTTTATCCCCGTTATTATCTTTGCAATTATTTTTTCAAATACAAAAGAAAATATTCTAGCCATAGACTTATAAGGTATCTTTGAATGTATCCAAAGATACAAGCATATATAGCTGATTCTAATAAATGCAAGTACATTTCAAAGCCCTTATATTTGTTGACTTGCTATCAGGGAGCTCGACTTCATACTTTATTGAAAAGAAATGGAAAACCATCTGTTATCAGGACATTAGCCTGTCACCTTAGCTCCCCTGAGGTGAGCCGATTTGGGCAGCACCTTTCAATACTAGTACCTTCTTGCTATTGAAAAAACCTTCACACTTACATTGACAATTTTTCATCTTTGACTCATACTGCAATTTCCTTCTTAATTCTCCTCCCTGGTCTCTACCATTTTCCCCTGCAATCAGTCTGAAGTGTCTTGGAAAAAATTGTTTTCCTCCCTAATGCTTATCTCCTTGGGCTTTCAGTTCCTTCCCGGGCATCCCACTGACTTTCAAGTTCCCATCTCACCTTGAAATGACTTTCGTAGTTGCTCCTAGCCCATATCACTTCCACCACACTGATCAAGTATTTGTTTCTACAACTGCTTGTCCCTTAGCTGACTTTCCCCATTCTCACTGTAATCTCGGCACTACGTGCAAAAGCACAAACTTATCTTTAGGGCCTCCCCCATCTGTGTACTCAGTCTTACTCAAGTCTTCAGATTTTCAAAGCTTTTCACAAAAAAACTTTGTAAAGAATAACTTAAATTGTTTATTTTCATTTGACTCAAAAAGCAGAGCTGCTGTTTCTTTTTGCTTTTGTTTTCCTTCTTTCTTTTTTTCTGGACAGGATCTCACTGTGTCGCCCAGGCTGGAGTGCGTGATCATGGCTCACTGCAGCCGTGACCTTCCTGGCTCAAGCAATCCTCCCACCTTGGCCTCTGGAGTAGCTGAAATATAGGCGCATGCCACCATGCCTGGCTTATATTTTTACCCTTTTATTTTTTTGTAAAGATAGGGTCTTGCTATGTTGCCCAGGCTGGTCTCAAACCCCTGGCCTCAAGTGATCCTCCCACCTTGGCCTCCCAAAGTGCTGGAATTACAGGCATGAGCCACCATGTCCAACCCCGGGTCTCTATTTCTTTTGCAATAGTACTTTCTAAATGTTTATTAATAATAATACAAGTTGAAAAGCAAAAATGTTTAGAATATTACAAATTGAAAAGCAAAAATGCAGAGGTAGTCCGAGCGATTATTAAGCAACCTAGGTTAGAGGAGGAGGCACAGGCTGGCTCCACAGTCCCTTGTATATAAGGGCGACTGATTGCTTAGCTCCAGGCCACATCTAGGATGCCTGGTGTTAACAGAGAGGTGGTTAAAAGAGATCACATAGGCATGAATCTTCATTCATGCTTGATGATAACAATGACACATAAAATAAGAAACAAGGTAGTTTGTGGACAAATGTACTGTGTTCCATTATATTAAATAACTCGTTATATTAAAAGCTAATTTTAAACTATCCAGAGGAAACATACTACTGGTAATTTTTTCAGTTACAACAACAAATTTGAGTTTATTTTCTCATGTTCAGTTCCCTTATGATTCTCAGAAGTAACTTCTAAAAGAGCTGGCTGACTTTAGGGGTAAAATCTGTTCCCACAAATCTGCTTTTCTCTGTGTTGAAGAATTACAACACAGAAAGAAAAATCCATGATGTGAGTTTAATTCCAATGAGAACAAATTTAGGAAAGTAGTAGGTTAGGTCAGATCACTACGAGGGCAGAGGTAATGTACAAGATACATCACATTTGGATTTGATTTTTCAGACTGTAATACTCTATTAATAATTAATGGGCAAAGGAACAGAATTATCAGAACCCTGTTTTAGAAATACCTGTTATAGTCATTGCAATCAACAAGCAGAACGTTTCAATAGGTGAGGTAAGAAACTATTGGAATAAACTCAGAACCAGTGAAATCAGAGAGGAAGGAAAAGGGGAAGCTCCTTAATGAGTGCAATGAATGGCATTTGACTAGGGGTTGATTCCCTATACAAGGT